GCTAGACGAAGAACCATTACCACGACCCTGGAACGCTGCTAAACTAAAGCAGTACTATAGCTAAAAACCGTTAAACGCTAAGGACTCTCGCCGTCGAACATCCACATCTAGTCAACAGAGAGAAATGTCTCGACCACGTAGATAGGCCAAGGTACGGGCCCAATCTACGCCCAAACGACATAACACCGTTCAGCCAAACGAGGACGAACGAAGATGCCCGACAGGGACACCTCAATAGAGCTCCACTGTCGAAGTACCCACATGGAAGAACACCCAGCTCGCGATGGGCATTTCACGCCACGGGCATACGACCTCGGTCTGGGTCATTCGCCCGACAGGAGGGCTTCACTCCGCACGACCGACGCATTTCGAAGTACGTCGGACCACCAAATGGGTCGAAAGGATCTCCACTCGAGGACATAACTTAGGCAAAATTCGCCACAAAGCAACAACCGAATACAAGCATGGCTCGAGGACATAACTTAGACAAATCTCATCACAATATAAAACTTAGACACGAGCAAGTTTAAAGTCAAATTGAACATCCATTTAAAAGCTCATACACAAAACGAATAAAAAAGAACCGACCAAAAAGGCCAGCGATGTTCAGAGTTACAAGCTATGGCACAACAGCCAAAAGAAATATGCACGGGCACGCATGCCCCAAAAATGAACACAGGCACGCAGGCCCCAAAACAAATACCAATAAACGGGCACGCAGGCCCGACCAGAATTTCCACGCTAAACATTCCTGGGACTACCGACATCCACCACAGGAGACTCAGGAGGAGGCACGACCTGGCCGTCAATAATCTGGGACATGAAACCCACTCCCTCGGTATTCATGCCCGGATTCAGTATGGCGAGCTGACTGACCGCGGCCTCGAAACCATCCGCTAAAGCGCCAATATAGTCTGTCTCAAGCAGGTGGATGTGTGCGACCAGATCCGAACGGGTCCGCAAGGGGGCTGTTTCCTTCGACTCGTCTTCAGCAGGAAGCATAGCAGCTTTCAGCTCCTCGACTTCCTTAGAGAAACGATCATTGTCGGCCTCCAAGCGTTCCTTGTCCAGTAGAAAGCAATCCCTCTCCTCAGCAATCTTCCCGGAGTTTTCCTTCTCCCCCGCCAGCAGGTCGGCTTGTTCACGGAACATTTCCTCGGATCGCTCGAGGGTCGCCTTCAACTTACGAGAGCTGGAAGCGAGGGCAGCATTCTCCGACTCCAACTCCCTGACGCGATCCGAGGAGTCCGACCCTTCCTCGGCAAGGACAACGGCCATCTCGGCCATCTTCACCATCCCGACCATACTGGCAGCCAGGTGTTTTCTCCGGATTTCTTTGTTGAGCCGCCTGATAGTCTCGGCCTCGTCGCTGCTCACCGTCAGGGGAAATCCCTCGAAGAAATCTTTCTCTTTAAAACAAGGGGGTAAGCCAAAGGCCCTCGCAGCTGCAGACTCGTCGGGGACCTCCGACCTATTATCTACACGAGTCCTCTTCCTCGTGATCAGCTCAGTGGGCTGTTCAGCGTCGGGGGAGCCCGGGGACCCACTAGAGGCATCGCCCGAACAGGTCGGCGGCCCCATCCTCGTGGCGTGCGGAGCCCGCACCAGCCTTTTGTTTACTTTTTTGTCCTGAGTCAGTTTCAGCAGCCTCTCCATTCATTCAGCCATGTCGCCTGCAAAAAAGAGCGAAACTCGGGTTAGTTGCGAGCAAGCAAAAAAACAACGAAAGTGAAATAAAACTATGATAAAAAGAAAAGGCAGGAAACCTAGTAGATCTACGGCCTTCCCGTAAGATTGGCACTCCACGAGCGCCTTGGTGTCGATAGAACGGGCCTCGAATGTCGGGTACCCCTCCTCATCAAGGATATCTTCCCCCTCCCTCGTGACCCACCGGGCAGGGAAGAAGCTATCGACATACTTGCAAAGGATACCGTAGGCTTCTTCGTCCTCGGCACTCATGCTCCCCGTGGGAGTATGATAGTACTCCGTGCCATGGTCGTAATGGCCCGAGCACCAATGTAGCGGGAACTTGGACACGCGCCCCATTGCCGGATGACCCTCGGCATCCATGAGGGGATCCCCGTTCTCGTCGACTACCGCAGTTTCCTCTTCATACATAGAATCCAAAGCAGTCTGGGTGACCGGTTGCAGAACGTACCACTTATCCTTGAAGCCCCGGACCGAATCCATATACATCCTGAACAACCTCTTCGACTGTTTCAGGGAAACCCATCTATGCCCGCCTCCTCGAGACTGACGCTGCAGGTGAAAAACCCTGAAGAAAAGGGGAATGGTCGCCCTGATCCTCAAGAAGCGGCATGTCAGCTCGAACGCCCGGAGGAAGGCGATCGAATTAGGATGAAGCTGCGAAGGGGCCAAGTTCAGATGGCAGAACACCCGGGCTTGAAAATCACTGAAAGGGAGCTTAAGACCGAGATCCCTAAACACGATCTCGTACATTGGGAACCCATACTCGGTGAACTCCGAGCAGATTCGTGCATCGATGGACGGCCTCATCACAATAAAATTCTTCTGGAAACCCGACTGAGTACCGCCGTGCTCGACGACAGTATATGCGCTTCGACTACGCCGACAGTATGCCGAGGCTATCCCTCGGGGCTCGGCGCCCACCCAATCCAACGAGGGGTCATCGACGGTATCAACTAAAGTCACGTTCTCTTCGATACTTTGGTCCTCAACTTCATGTTGCCTCGAAGATTCTGGTTTGTCGGCCATTTACCTGCAAAGCACAGGAAACCGGTGAAATTTGAGAGCAAATCCGCATGCTCGCCACAATGACGGGAAGTAGTGCGCGACAAGCTAAACACGCTCGACCAGGCGTCGGGAACAACAAGAGAATAACATGAACACCCCGGGCGATAAACATGGATGACTCGAACAAGGTCCTGACTTTGCCTCCCCGACGCTAAGATGCTACGACGAGTTGTCTTACATGCTTCCTAAGGGGTCAACATCCCGGCCAACTCATGGGTGCGCCGACCAAAACCATGAATGTGACGGGAAATACCATAGATCATATGCCTAGAACTATGGGTTTACCGGGCAGTATCATAGATTACGCGCCTAAAACCATGAAGGTCACGGGCAGCATTGCGAGTCACGTACCTAAAACTATGGGTTTACCGGGCACATACATGAATTTACCGGGCACAAACATGAATATATCGGGCACTACTCCCAGATGTGGGTTTCTAACATCCAAATAACCTTAAAACTACCTACAACGAAGAAAAGCAGGAGAAATGAACACTTACTTGGAAGAAAAGAAGGATGTACGACAGCGATGAGAGTAATCAACGAAGGATGGTGCGATAATCTCGCGGTGTTGAGGAAAACAACAGCGGCGGAAGCAGAGGAAGAAGGAGAAACGCGAAGGAGAAAAACAAATTATGGGACCCAAGGATCCTATTTATAGGGATGACGTGGAATTCGAAACGTCGCCCCGGGGAGCCACGAACTTCCCCTCCTCGACATCTACTTCCCTAGGCAATGATGACCCTATCGTCGCTAGGGTGGCGTCACGGTTCCCAAGGATTGCCTCGTGTACCCAACAAACACAGTCCGCGAGGAATTCCCCGAGCATGCGTCGACGAGGATTACGCTACGAACGCAACCTGTGAGAAACTCCTCGAGCACACATCAGAAAGCAATATCTTGGTCCGGGCATCCAATCCCCGTGTTAAAGGGGAGCTGATGTCAAGTCATAACTCCTGCTCCAGGAGCAACGACTTGGGGGGCTCCTGTTCTGGACTGGGCCCGCCCTGGCCCAAAGCGCAGATAAAGGCCCAATCCAAGTAAACTCCTCGAGGAATGCGCACCCGCGGATCACCGCCGACGTGCCCGACCACAGACTGTAGCCATGCCCGCCATTGTCCGCGACACCTAGTATCCCCGACCAAGGGAACTCCAGCTCGAGTCCTGCTCGAGCACTCTCCTCGTAGGGCAGACTCTGTCCTCTCTAACCGTTATCGAATTATCTAAACTCCGGAAAGGCCGCGTCTTCGTGCCTCCTCATTCTTCGCAGAGCATCACCAGGAAGGGGACCACGTGCGGGGCCCCACTACACACGTAGAACCTGGAAGTTCTTTTATTGGGCCAGTTCTGGTCGGCCCAATGAGGAGACCTTGACCCAGCGCTGAGGGCTATAAATACCCTTTGTTCCTAGAGGGTCAGGTATTCATCTCTTACGCATCTATACACTTTTTGCCTGCTCATTCCGTCACTCATTTTAGCATCGGAGTGTCTTGCAGGTACCCCCATCTCACTCAAATTCTGCCCGAGTCGATCGTGACGGTTCAAGTCTGGTCAGATAAGATCTGAAATATATATATATATATATATATATATATATATATATATATATATATATATATATATATATATATATATATATATATATATATATATATATATATATATATATATATATATATATATATATATATATATATATATATATATATATTCCATAGCTAATAGTTAGCTCCATTAGAATTCTGAGTTTGAAAAATTGCACTCAAATCATATCATATGTTAAATATGTTTAAATAGTGTCCACACTTTCTCCCGCTTTTTTATTTTATTTTATAAACAAAATATGAGATTAGTGCTTCTCATATATCATTCTTTTTCTATATTTATATCATATATTACATAGAAACAACTTTTAAATTAATTTGCTTAGAAATTTATTTATTTTATTTTAAATATAGAACTCGAAAAAAACTAAATTATTTTTCTAAATTTAATTAAATTAATATATATAATTTAGAAAAATGATTTAGTTATTTTTGAATTCTATATTTAAAATAAAATTTAAATTTCTAAGCAAATTAATTTAAAAGTTGTTTCTATGTAATATATAAAAATATAGAAAAAAAATGATAGATGAGACGCATTAATCTCATATTTTGTTTATAAAATAAAATAAAAGAGCGGGAGAAAGTGTGGACACTATTGAAACATATCTAACATATGATATGGTGTGAGTGCAAATTTTCAAACTCAGAATTCCCACGGAGCCAACTACTAGCTAGTTGCAATAATATATAATTAAGACTTTTGAGGCAGTTGAGGTTTTCCTTTATGTTTCTGCAACAACTTGATGTGAACTCACCTAATGCACTAGCCAGTACAAATTGTGTGGTAATAAACCTATCCAACTAACCACTTTTTCATGTATATTGAGTACATTTTAATATTGTACTAGTAGTACTTTAGACAGAAACAAATTATAAATAATACTTTGGTGAAGTCATTATTATTTAGGAAAGTCGAAACAACACGTTACCATTTTAAATTAATGTTTTTTCAGCTTCATAGAATGGTGCTACGGAATAAGGAAATTTCCTCTTTTGTCTTCATGTTTATAGTTGAAAATAGTGAAAATTAACTTATGGTTGAAGAAGGTTGCAAAATGGTGCGAATTGTCTAAAAATAGTGAAATTTCCTCATTTGTCTTGAATGATTTTTATAGTTGATAATAACAATATTTTAAAAATCGGATCGATCATCACACTAATCACTATTAAAAAAAAAGACATTTGAGAAAAAGTTTTTACATCGGGTATCAAAATAGGTGATGTAAAAAATACAGTTAACAAACTTTTTACATCAGGTATTTATTTACAATGATATAAAAAATAAGGGAAAATTTTTTTTCGTCACCTATTACATCGGGCAATCTCATCCACCGATGTAAAAGATTTTCAGAAAAAAAACACGGTGGCATTTTTGTAAATAAGAAACAAGGTGACAAAAACGTAAAAAAAATATAAGCAATATATTACATCGGTTTAAATAAAAACCGATGTAAAAAATGATAGCTTGAATTAATATATAAAATATATTAAAAAATCATAAAAAACGCGTGTAAAAAAAAAAGCAAGATATTATATCGGTTGGTCTTTCCACCGATGTAAAAAATGATAGCTTGAATTAATATTTAAAATATATTAAAAAATCATAAAAACGCGTGTAAAAAAAAAAGGAAGATATTACATCGGTTGGGACTTTCCACCGATGTAATAGCCATAGCTTGAATTAATATTTAAAATGTATTAAAAAATCATAAAAACGCGTGTAAAAAAGGTCCACCGATATAAAAAAGTATAAAAACAATTTTCTTTTATTCGCGAACACTGTACAGCTACGCCCCATTTTCCATTAGACGACCCATTCTCCGACCCATTTTTCCACGACGCCTACCACTGCCAACACCGTCGCCGCCAACACCGTTTCCGCGACGCCTACCGCCTCCAACACCCAACACCGTCAACGGCTCACCGTCGCCGCCCGATTCATCGTCGTTTCACAATACACACTGCCACCTCACAATACACACCGCCACTCCATCTTCTTTCTTCAGCGCCAATTTTTCAAGGGCTCCTCTATCGCTCCTCTTCTCTGCCATTTGTCATCGTCTCTTCATCGTTCCTTTGTTCGAGTGCTCCTCTGCGGTTCCTCTTCTCTTCCGATTGTTCAAGGTAAAATTTGGTTATTCTTTTATCTTTTTAATTTCATTTTTTGTTTGATTTTGTTGTTAAGAAAGATTGATTCATTGTTTGAAAATTCTATGTAGGTTAAATTTCATGTATTAGCTAGAAAGAAATTTTGGATTTATTCTATTTCAAGGGTTTGTGTTTTGGTTGTACTTTGTAGTAATGTGCTTCTTTCTATTATTTTACTGCTCTTTAAGTGTTTGAAGAAATGTTCAACAATATGAAAGATTGTTTTTTGTCTTAGTGCTCACTATGTGTTTGAATAAATGTCTAACTGAGTAATTGTTTCTTCATTTGATACTCAAGTCTCCCCCTCTGGACCATATCATGTTACTTTGAATATCAATATGTTGTAATGTCCTATCTGTACCATTATTTGAGACACATTTAACAATAGAACAATAGCTCATTTTCTAAAGTAATGTCATGTGTGTTCTATAAATATAGTACAAAGACCATCCAACACTTGAACAACTTTAGTTAGGACTGTTGAAGCAGCCATAAAATCAACTACAGCTGCAACAGAACCATTTCCTACAAATGCAGAACCCGTAGCTTCAATAGAACCATTTCCTATAGCCACTGAATACTTCACATCATATTTTGTTAGTTTTAGAAGAGAAATTTCGAATGTTGTTCATGATAAGAAGGAAATATGTTGCTTCCGTAAATATAAGAGTAGAAAACAATAGCACATGCATATTTATAAGGAATAGTTGTTTACATTCTTACATGTCTATTTATTGTTTCTTAATTCATGGATATATGATTTTGTAAGTAAACATCCATTTCAAATGCATCGGACTTCGTTGTTAACGATTGAAAATAAAGGTTCCTTTTGGCTAACATCTTTTGCCATTTAAAGTTAGATGTCACGTATTTGAGAGCATAAAGGCATTAACTGTTAATGGGGATATTTAGTGTCACTGTCAAGATTATAGACTCATGATTTTCAACTAGGAGAGTAGTGATTTATGGGTTCTACTGCAAGTATATATGATCAAAGTTTTTCTTTATTTAATTCTCATGTATTATTTTTTCAATAACCATACAAATATAGTGGAAAATAGGTTAAAAATGATAGCATAATTAGAAAGCAGGGAGCCACCATAAAGTGTTTCATTATACTCTTGAACCATCACTAGCGGGTTCAGTACCATACTCATCTGCAAGAGACACAATCTATAAAACTAAACCACCGTCAGTGATTATAATTCTTGCAGACAATTGTAGTTTAAAATTATGTTTTATATTAAGTGTCAAAAATAGTGGTCACACTATTCTTTATATATATTCAAATATTTGTGAAACAAAATATTATATCATTATGTGTACATCCTTGAAAGCAATATCTATTTATTTGTAATTATCATTGGATACAGTTGAATATTAGTCACGGAAAATCACATATGAGTGCAAACCAAAATGGGAGTAAGAATCTTATAAAGTAAAATATTGAGAAAGTTTGTAGAGGAAAGGAATTTAAAATAATTAAACTTTAAACTGGTTCATATAATGGCATTTAATCAATGTTATTTATTTGTTTGGTTGATTTTTGTTAATTATAGCTTTTGTTTGTTTAGGTTTTATGTCCCACATTGTATTCAATAATTTCTCTCTTTTTATAAGGTGTACTTAATAAGATATATTTAATATATAAAGTATAGAATAAATAGTATTTAGCCACTATGGAAGAAACGAATCTAAGTTTAGGCATATAAAATACTAAATAGGCTCAAGTTAAGATTATAGATAATAAAATTTATACTTATAGTATATTATAATGTATAAACAAAAAGGCTAATTTTTCAATGAAACGCGCATGCATATATTTTTTATTAGAGGTACAATTCGCGACTTCGTTGGGCAAAATGTTTCTTTGAGTTACATGGAACTTAAGTTTATCTTGGTGAGTTTTATAGAATTGTATAAGTTGTGGTTTTTGCACAATACATGTGGTTTTTGCTCATGTGTTGAGTTTCTTGATTTTTTTTGCTGATGTTAATTGTTATTATTTATTGTCAGGCAATATGATTTTGGTGTTGTCTACCGAAGATTTTATATTGGTAATTCAAGTTTGGAAACTTAGAAATAGTTGAATATTTTTGTATATGTATATTTTGTGAATATTATGTAATTGTAAGTTTTGAAAAAGACTTATAAATAGTTGAATATTGTTTTATATTTTGTGAAGAATTTGTAATTGTAAGTTTGTATGTTGTAATACAATACAAGTTTGCAATACAATTGTTCAATTTGTAAGTTTGTTGTGAAAAATATGAAAACATCGTTCTAAATGTGATATATGTGATGTTGGAAAGCTATGAAATCTATATAGCGACATAAATATAGTCTGTTTGATATTGGAAAAATATGAAAAAATGGGTACAAATTATATTTGTATAGGGAAACCCAGAAAATAAATAATCTATTCCAAAAAAATTTCATACATTTTACATCGGTTATTAGTAAAAACTGATGTAAAAACTTTCAAAAAGGGACTTTTTACATCGGTTGGGGATAATAACCGATGTAAAAAGTCGCATCACTGGGGACTTTTTACATCGGGTATTACTTCCAACCGATTTAAAAAACTGGATCAATTTTTTTAAAAAATGTGCATAATAATTGTTTCTTACATCGGTTCATATATTAAAACTGATGTAAAAAAGGGACTTTTTACATCGGGTATTACTTCCAACCAATGTAAAAAACTGGATCAATTTTTTAAAAAATGTGCATAATAACAGGTTATTACATCGGTTCTGATATTATAACCGATGTAAAAAAGGGACTTTTTACATCGGTCCCAGAACCGATGTAAAAAGTCCCTGATTTACCATATCGCCTGACTTTACATCGGACCCAAAACCGATGTAAAAAGTCAATTTCACCCGATGTAAAAAGTCATTTCTGCACTAGTGAATGAGAGTATTGGATCATGGTCGAATCGCAAGATCAAACCGAATTAAATCAAATAGCTTGATTGAATTGACCGATAATTATAACAAAACTTTATAAATATAAAACTGATCGAATCGGATTATTCAGTCTCTATAAAATATAACTAATACTTAAATTTTTTTAAAATATCAATATTACAAATTCACAAGTTTATAATTTAAATTCAAACTTTAAACAAAAAATCACACAAATAACATGGTACAAAATTACAAAGTGTAATTGTAAACAAAGTTTAATTGCGACATAATATAATTAAATAGTTTATAACAAAATAACTTCAATGTGTACTAAATATAGTTTAAAGGAAGAAAAATTGTTTCAATGTTGGGATCTTCATCTTTAATATTAAAATCATGTGTAGTAAAATCAATCGCATCCGCAACTAAGGATGTCAACGGAGCAGAGAATATACTGAGAGTGATTCACCGCTCCATGCCCTGCCCTCAAATTTATTCGCCATCTCCATTTTCAATCTCCGGCACGGGATAATATTTTCTCTCATTCCCATCTCCACAGATCCCCGCAGAGATCCACGAAGATCGAATCTTAAAAAAAAATCTATACTTTTCGATCAAAACTATGATACTAGTATTTCGTTATTTTTTCCTTTAAAAAAACAAATATATTTTGTATCTTTTTATTTATAAATAAAAATACTATTGCGACCGGTTTTTAAATCGAGAGTCGTCACTATTAGTTTTTATCCTAGGGAAGGGAACCTAACAGAAACCCTAATTCGCGGACAAAAATTCTAGGTTACGGACTCAATTAGACGAAAGGAAGGTGTTAGGCACCTTTCATCCCCCTTCATTGAGGAGTAATCTACTTGTTATTGCTTTTCATTTCAATTCAAGAACATTTTGTCTGTAATATTTAACAATGACTTTTAAGCCATGTGCCTGGCCCGAGGCATTTTGGTCAGTTTTATCAAGGGTTTTATTTATGTTCATCTAATCATATGATCATTCAATACAAAACATTGGACTCTTTTGCATTCAAATCTTTATACTCATTGTCTTTCTTTTCTTCAAATATATTTTTCAAAATAGCCATGTATCTTACATGCACACACACACACTCTTGCAGGTCCTCATCCACTCTAGATCTGATTGCTAATGACTCTACTTTTGCCGACTATGAATTTGAATGTCTAATCAACCAAGCTGAAGACGAAGGCGAGGAAGATTGTGAAATACCGGGAGAACTAGCCAGACTTCTTTTACAAGAGGAAAAAGTTATTCATTCGCACGAAGAGTCAGTTGAAGTCATCAATCTGGGTACTGAGTCAGATAAGAAGGAAACCAAGATTGGAGCTAACTTGGAAACCAGTGTCAAGAGCAGGTTGGTTCATATGTTGCATGATTATGTAGAAGTATTTGCTTGGTCTTATGAAGATATGCCCGGGTTGGATACCGACATCGTAGTTCATCGTCTACCGACAAAGGAAGATTGTCCTCTTGTCAAACAAAAGGTTCGTCGCATGATGCCTGATATGTCTAAAAAGAGTAAAGCTGAAGTGATGAAACAATTTGATGCAGGATTCCTAGCTGTGACATCCTATCCCCAATGGGTTGCCAATGTGGTGCCAGTGCTGAAGAAAGACGGAAAGGTTCGCATGTGCGTAGACTATAGGGATCTGAATAGGACAAGCCCCAAGGATGACTTCCCTCTACCACACATTGATGTCTTAGTCGATAATACTGCTCAACATAAAGTCTTCTCTTTCATGGATGGCTTCTCAGGCTATAATCAGATAAGTATGGCTCCTGAAGACATGGAGAATACAACTTTTGTCACGCAATGGGGCACCTTTTGCTACAAGGTCATGCCGTTCGGATTGAAGAATGCAGGGCCAACATATCAAAGGGCTATGGTAGCTCTGTTTCATGATATGATCCATCATGAAATAGAGGTATATGTGGATGATATGATTTCCAGATCACAAACTGAAGAGGAACATCTAGATCACCTGTATAAACTATTATAGAGGCTGAAGAAGTACAGGCTGCGGTTAAACCCTAACAAGTGCATGTTTGTAGCACGATCTGGAAAGCTTCTAGGGTTTGTTGTCAGCAATAAAGACATTGAAGTTGATCCTCCCAAGGTAAAGGCCATCTAATAAATGCCAGTCCCTCATTCTGAAAAAGAAGTTAGAGGATTCTTGGGTTGTCTCAATTACATTGCCCGTTTCATATCTCACTTGACTGCTACTTGTGAGCCAATCTTCAAGCTTTTGAAGAAAGATCAGGTAGTCAGATAGAATGATGAATGCCAAGCTGCCTTCGATAAAATCAAAGAATATCTACCTATTTTCATGCCTCCAGTTGAAGGAAGACCCTTGATCATGTACTTGACAGTACTAGAGAATCCTATGGGGTGTATTTTGGGCCAACATGACGAGTCTGGCCGAAAAGAGCATGCTATTTACTACCTGAGCAAAAAGTTTACCGACTATGAAACCAGATATTGACTACTCGAGGAAACTTGTTGCGCTCTGGCATGGGCTGATCGCCTGCTAAGACAATATATGTTGACTCATACCACTTTGTTGATTTCTAAGATGGACCCAATCAAGTACATCTTCGAGAAACCTGCCCTTTCTGGACAGATAGCTAGATGCAAAATGATCTTGATTGAGTATGACATTCAATACACAATGCAAAAATCCGTAAAAGGAAGCGTACTAGCTGATCATTTGGCCCATCAAGTTGTGGATGATTATCAGTCTATGAACTTCGACTTCCCTAATAAGAACATCATGCTGGTGACCGACTGCGCGAAACCTGGACCATATGACGGACCTGAACATGGATCCCGATGGACTATGGTCTTCGATGGGGCTTCCAATGCCTTGGGTAATGGAATTGGTGATGTGATCATCTCTCCTGAAGGTTGCCATACTCCTTTCACTGTCAAACTATGCTTCGATTGCACGAACAATATGACTAAATACGAAGTGTGCATTTTGGGTCTGAAAGCTTCCATTGACTTGAGAATCAAAAATTTGAATGTGTTTGGGGATTTCACTCTATTGATTAGCCAAGTAAAAGGAGATTGGGACACTAAGCACCCTAATCTTATCCCTTATAAGGAACTTGTGCTATCCCTAATTCCCTACTTCGAAGAGATCACCTTTGAGCACTCCCCTAGGGAAGAAAATCAGTTGGTTGACACTTTGGCAACCATGTCTTCAATGTTCAAGGTCAGATGGGACAATGAAGCCCCTATGATTACAACTGAAAAATTCTATGAACCTGCACACTGCTGTGAGCTTGACACTGACGTGGAAAATCCATGGTACCATGAGCTGATGAGGTACCTTGAAGCACAAGAGTACCCTGAGGGGGGAATCCATCAATGACAGAAAGTTGTTATGAAGATTTTCATCCAAATTCTTCCTAAGTAACAGGATATTGAACAAGCGCAACCATGATTCAACTCTACTCCGATGTGTGGACAAGAAGGAGGCAGAGGAAACTATGGAATACATGCACGATGGTCTCTTTGGCACTCACTCAAGTGTACATACAATGGCGAAGAAAAATCTTGAGAGCTGGCTACTATTGGTCAACGATGGAGACTGATTGCCATCAACGCTCTAGAACTTGTCACAAATGCCAAATCTATGCTGACAAGGTCCATGTGCCTCCTATCCCTTTGAACGTCATGATAGCTCTGTAGCCATTTGCAATGTGGGGTATTGACATGATTGGAAAGATCAAGCCCACCGCTTCCAACGGACATTGCTTCATTCTGGTCCCTATTGATTATTTCACTAAATGGGTCGAAGCCGCCTCATTTGCCTCAGTCGCCAAGAATGTGGTAGCCAGATTCATCAAACACAACCTCATTTGCCGCTATGGTATCCCCAAAAGGATCATCACCGACAATGGGACTAACCTCAAAAATGCTATGATTACTGAGCTTTGCACTCAGTTTAAGATCAAGCATCACAATTCTTCTCCATATAGACCTAAAATGAATGGCGCAGTCGAAACGGCCAACAAAAACATTAAGAAGATTGTGTAGAAGATGGTAGTAGCCTATAAGGACTGGCATGAGATGTTACC